CCCACAGGGTCTCCAAGGCTGTCAGTCTTCACAGAAGCAAAGCCCAAACCACACCCACTGCCGTGGAGTCGATTCTGACCCACAGCGCCCCTAGAGGACAGGGTGGAACTGCACCACAGGGTTTCCTGGGCTGTCATCTTTATGGGAGTAGATCACCAGGTCTTTGTCCCTGGGAGCCACTGGGTGGGTTTGAAATGCCAACACTTCGGTTAGCAGTCAAGCATTTAACTATTGCACCACAAGTCACTGAAGGTCAGAGAACTCCAGTGGTAAGGCCTTGAATTCAAGCTGCTGTGTTCTTCTAACAGAGAGATTTTCAATAAGGTGACAGAAAACATAACGAATGAGGTCACCCTCCCTCTGAAAAACAGCACTGACTGCAAAGTGCGATGTGTGTCTTGTGCCAATGTACAACCTCAACTTCTTTTCTTCCCCCACACTCCCCCTTCTCCAGGCACAATCACCTCCTGGGTGGTCATTTTTTTCCTTCCGGTCAACAGCGCCTTGAACCCTGTCCTCTACACGCTCACCACCAGCCTCTTTAAGGACAAGCTGAAGCAGTTGCTGCACACCCACCACGGGAAGCCGATGTTCAAAACGAAAAACAAAAGGGTATCGACGTCCCTTGTGTGGGCAGAAGACTCCTCATCACTTAAGCTCGGGGTGTTGAGCAAGATAACCCTTGGGGATGATGTGAGGAAACCACCCCCATACTAATGGGTGGGACTGGGGGCTGCCTGTTAGTGGACAATGTAGAGCAAGGTCCACCTGGTGGGAGATGGTCCCTGTAGTGCTTGTCACCCCCTGCCCAGCAGCACATATGCCCGTGTAGGGGGCACAACCCAACAAGGCTGGCGCTGTGGCCCTGGCGGCTGTGCTCCGTGTCAACTCTGCTAAGAACCACACCCAAAGGCTCTGCTTCTCACCCTCGGTGCTGCCCCCGCTCCGTGCCGACGGGCACAGTGAATCCGTGCATCACAGGCTGATGGGCCCGGGGCTGGCCCGTCACACAGGGTCTGCTTTGGCATGGAGGTGTACTGTCCATAAACACAAATGTTCCCCACGTCTAATTCCAGTGCGGCTGTGAAGACAAGGCTGACATCGCCTCTTCCTTTGCTTTCTCAACGTCAGAGCCACCAGCGCCCTGCCGAATGGAGGACAAAGGATTTCTGAGATGTTGCCCACCCTGAAGCCTACCCTACAGAGGCTGGTGGAGCAGCAGCTTTGAAAGCAGGACTTCAGGCTGGTTTCTAATGCCTAACATAGGACCAAGGAGCCTGACGGCATCGTGATTCAGTGTTCCACTACTAACGGAGAGGTCAGTGGTTCAAACCCACCAGCTGCTTCACAGGAAAAAGTCGTGGCAATCTGCTACTGTAAAGATGACAGCCTTGGAAACCCTCTGGGGCAGTTCCACTCTGTCCTCTAGGGGCGCTGTGGGTCAGAAT